ACACACCAACCCTAGAGAAGCTGCTAAGATTTATTTCACATTGAAGAGAGTCTTTATTTTACTAGGTCTCTCTGATTCGAGTAAAAAAATCTGAGGCAAAGAAATATTTTCAGTCCTTCCCTTTGTCAGGAATTGTGATATATTAATAGTGGTGTAATTTAATTGGATAATAGCAGCAGGCTCACTTTTTTCATTAATTTTTAAAAATTGGAATGGATATATATTGCCAGTATTTATGGGAAATGTATTTGTTTCAGTTCAGTTTATCAAATGAATCTTCAGGCAATTGCAGTCAGTGTTTTGCATACAGTTACTTCTTCTGAAATGCTCCCAGCTAGCAACGAAGATCTTAGCATTATTAGAATTTACTGTTTGTCTTAGCATGATTATCTTCCACTTTTGTTAGATAAATATTTTTGGGCATCTTGAATCTTCTTTTGTCACTCTGTATCAAGTATTTGTCCACCAAATAACTGGAGACTTTTTTAGAACAGCTGTGAGCTGTATTATTCCATATTAGCTACCTTATTTTATGAAACTTTGTCATATTCTCCCAAATATGAAAAATAAATAAATAAATAGATACAGGAACAGAGATATTTCTTTTTATGTCACATTAAGCATTTGAAATTTTACTTATTCATATGGTGGGTGTTATGCTACAGACTAACAAAGAGAGGTGGTGATCGTCTTAGTTAAGAAAATTCTTTCAAAATTTTCAGGTACAAATGTATCTTTAATCAATTGGAAAGTTCTGAAAAACAAGGGGTGTTACATATAGCCAGTAAGGTCAGTTTGTCTGTTCTTGGCTGAGGGAAGGATACAGGATTGCTGGTGAAAATTATGAGGGTTACAGGACTGCTGGTGAAAGGCTGTGGCATTCACTTCGCAAACACCTGCCACAAAGGCCCGTGTTTCCTTTAAGCTGATACCAAGCAGCCAGTGCAACTTGTTTCGTACTTGCCCAGTTATTTTTCTTGCTCACAAAACATATAGACAACAAAGGTATGCTTTCTTATATAGAAGACTGGCTTGGCTGCAGGGTCTGTATAGGAACAGGAAGATTTACGTGTAAATGACTGTGCTGAATAAGTAAATAGTCCTTTAGTGGACTACTAGGGTTTGTGTTTGTGGGTGCTTCAAATGCTTACTATGCAGATTAAATAATGCATTGGCAACAACACTTTTTAGGAGGCATTTGAAGATCTGCCTGGGCGTTATTGTGTCTGGTAACCAGTTTGGTTGTGAAACTGATGTACATTTTCAAGCAGAGCAAAGAGCTCATACTGTGACAATTTTGAGATCTAGTTATGTGAGGATGTGGCAGGTATCAGAATAAATTGTGCAAGGTGCAGAATAGAGATTTAGGGAGTTGAAGAGGGATTTAGGGGAGGTGCAACTTTATTTTCGTCTTTCCAGACTCCAGTTTACACAAATCTAAAGTTTTACCTGAGATTACATGTCCGTGCTGCTCCCTCTCCAGCTGAAATGATATAGAAAACTCTCAGATTTATTCACTTAAGTTTTATATTCTTTCTTCTCTTCTCTGAAACATATTCCTTAAAATATAAGCCCATTCACTGGATTTAAGGGACTAAAATAAATTATCTACTGGTAGAAAAAGACTATTTAAATGTTGACTGTAGCCTGGGGAAGTAAAGTCCACTAGAGGGCAGTTCAGAGCAAGAGTGTAGTCGGTTGCCTTAATTTATCTTCAGAGACAATCTATTCTTTCTGTATTCAAAAGGATTTTATTTTCTTAGTATCAAAGTATTTGCCATTGTACCTAAGCTTGCAAAACCACTAGCTATGATATACTAAGCAGGAACTTGTATTTGGGGTTAAGTGTGTGTAATTGCAAAGCTATGCTTTTGCATGCTGAATTTAAGTGTGAGGGAACGTGCAGAGTATTTGGACAAAAATAAACATCAGGTGGCATTTTTATATCTTTGAGAAGTTGTTTCAGATATATATACTCACACGGACATACATACACACACACACACATATGTGTGTATATTACAGTTATGGTGAAGGTCTGTGCACCAGGCTGAAAATGTTGTGAATATAAATGGTATACTTTGTCAAACTTCTCGTATTTGTCTTTGTAGTTATTTCTAAAACATCTGTACTGAGTTCCTCCATTGACCTGTGTAGTTTACTAGAACAGTAATGTTCAACGTTTGATTTTTGTCTGGGTAAAGAGATCTTGCATTTTTAGAAATTGCTATATATTACTTAACTTTTACAGTTAGATGGCTACCTCTTCTTGCAGACATTTTAAATGTCCATAATTTCTGGGGCAAGGAATTTCCAGTGACAACAGATTATGTCCCCACACTAGTTTTGTCAATTCAGAATTCAGATCTAAAGCAGAATTATGTTTTTTTTTCCTTTTAATTTATTGTGACCTGTGTAAACTAATTAAATACTCCCTAGAACCTCTAATTTTTACCAGAAATCTATTAAATAATAAGCTTTATTTTGAAACCAGGCTGTTATAATGTGTCAAAAGGACTTCAAAAACATGTTGTAAAATACCAGTAGCAAAAAATGCATGACTTATTGCCTGTCACCTTTACTGAATATACTGTTTGAGGAACGGATGTTTGTCCTTACCAGAGGAGCATTACAAAGCTTTTTACAGTTGGTCTGTCTACGTACTAAATGCTTAATTTTCAGATGTTTTCTGTTTTTGAAAACATTTGTATGAGCAGGCGTGTTGAGATGTCTTTTATTTGCTAATAATTGAGACCAGTACATAATTTCTCACTTACTTCAATATGCTTTTCACTATTTAATTAAAGTTGTTATGAGTATTATTGTTTATTGAGCAAGATTTTGTTTTTGAAGTGGCCCCACACAGTTAAATTATTTTAATGCTGCAGTTTATTCCGATGAGATAATGGTATATGTCTAGTTAGAGCCCTTCAGAGCATTTTTGGGTGGATCCACTATATTTTGTTTGCTAGTGCTATTAGTTTGAAAGGGAAAACACTGTTGTTTTCTGTAAACATAAGTGTGTAAATATGAAAGGGAATGTCACCAGTTGTTCTTTAGGGTCTCACAGTCAGCTCTTGCCAAGGACATGATTTTGAATTAAACTGGGCAAACTGGTAGGTTTTTTCTTCTTTCTTGTGAGTAGTGAAGTCAATAAGGTGCAGATTTGAGCATAAGAAATGTGTTGAATAATTTATTCCAAAATGTTACACTGACGAGGTCAATGTACTGGCTGTAGTATCCCAATATTCCATGTGATACTGAGTCTAGAAGTTGAGTTCCTCCTCAGCTTTGCACAAGGTGGATCTTTTATCTTCAGAAAGATATCAGGTAGTTGAGTTTGTGGTACAATGGGGAAGTGGGTGTGGTTAGAGGGTATCATTTTACTTGACGCACTTTTCAAAATCTTGATTGGAGTAACAAAGTTATTTAACTCTAGATTAAAGGGATTTTTATTCTTTTGCACTGTACATTAGAAGTCATTTATGAATTTTGTACATAACAGCATTGGTCCAAGTGAAGGAACTGAGGAAGATTACCCCAGTCACTAATGACCTTTAATTGCATGCTGTAATCAAACAAAGCCAATGTTTAGACTGTCACGTCTACCAAACAGACTGTCTGTATATAGAGAAGATTATTTTGGAAGAATAATAAGAAGAAATTGAGAAGATTTAAGAAGTTTTATCTTGCAGTATACGATGATATATTTTAATTTTAATAGTGTCCTCACAGCTAAAAAGTAGTACAGAAACATTGATTTAAAACTGTCAGCCAAACTAGGCATCTTGTCTGTGGAAAATATCTCTTAGCGCTTTGCTCCTGTAATTTGGGGATTTCTCCTAGAGATGCCTGAAAGGGCAAAGGAAGAATGAGAATAGCTTTTGAATTTGTTAACTTTTTGACGAGGAGAGACTCTTAAATCTGGTTCTTAAGGGCCATGATGTTTTCTGTTAGTTCTAATAATAGCAATCAAACATGTTGCGTCTTTGCTGTTGACTTCTCTCTGTGTTGGTGGTCAGTAATTCCATAAAAGAAAACCAGACTTGGCTTTCAGACCTCTTAAGGTCTTTGCACTGTACAGGCCCAGTACATTAACTGCTTCCACTTTCAGCCCTAAATTATTAGATTATACTGGCAATATATATATAGGCAGTAATCCCTGGCAGGGGAATAGGATTCATATCTGGATTTGCAACCCCTTCAGCTGACCCTGCAAGATCTCTTCAACTGGAAGATTTTGTGGTTGTTGTTGGAAGAATATGAAGAGTTAAAGCAGAGAAAAGCATCCTGGCTACAGCTATTAATTCTAAGTTAATTCTGTAGCTGAACAAATCTGTATTTATGTCGATCTGTGAAAGTTTTTTTGTATTTTGCATTTTGTTGTTGTAACTCTTGGAACACAGATTGTGTCTATTGGCTAAAGAGCCAGCCTTGTCCTCTGTTGTAAACAATAGTTTATTTTGAAGGTAGCTCTGTTTGGATTTGGGATAAATTAGGAGAAGCAAGGGGGGACCAATTAATGTGTCTAAACCATTCATGTGTCATGATTTCAGTATAATTTGTGGTATTCAAGGTATCTTTATTGCAGAGTGGAGATAAACCATAGGCAACATGGGGCCTGTTGGATAGCAGTTGCAGGCCTGTAGAGATATCATGGAGCATCTGAAATCACATCTGAATCTCACCTCAGCTGACCCATCAAATTAAAAAAGGAATTCTTAGCCAAAGTGAACGTAACATAGCAGGGCCAGGAATCTGTCTAGAATTAAGATAAACATATTATCAGCCTGCACAGGAAAAATCCAACTGTTTAGTCTTAAAAATTTGCAGGAATAAATAGAATACAGTAGTATTCAGTGGTTGTACAATCTGGACAACTTGTGAACAAAGACCTGTGGGAAATGCTGGTTGGTTCCTTTTTTGTACTAAGCTAGTAATGTGTGTTTGTAATCTACTTGTCTTTGATTAAATTACTAATTGTTCTCTTTCTGTTCTAGGTTATGGTCAGACTGGTCCAATGGTTCAGAGAGCTGGATACGACTCCATTGCAGCTGCTATTTCTGGTCTCATGCATATCACAGGGCATGAGGTATGGTGCTCAACTTACAAATTTAGTAGCATAATTGTGTCATGTACTAAAACTTGGTGCTGCATGGAGCAAGGTAACTTATGCTCACTTGCTGTGTATCTGTTATGCATACTGTCCTGAGAAAAACAAAAGTCTTTTCTCTAGGAATCTGAGAAAATTATAGTGCTTATATGCTTCAGATATTTCAATGCAGGCTTGCAAAGCACACACCCTAGTAACAGAAAATAGAAGAAAAATGGTATCCTAAATCTCCAGTGAACAAGTTGACAATTTATGCCAATTTGTTAATGACCACTAGTAGTCACTTCAAGAGCTGTAACTGACACATTGACACCCAGATGATGGAACCATGCATACCTGTGGCAAGTCTCTCCCATGCTTTGAAACTGATATTCCCTCTTTAAAAGAAGGAATTGTGAAGCCATCCAGATAACTCAGACAAATTGTCTTTTTGATCATCCTGCCTGAAAATAAGCAGAGAGATGCCATTAGTGGCTCTGGAAAAGCTGTATGTGCTGCTATTCCTACTGATATCCAAGATCTTTGGTAGTGTCATTAGTGCAGGAAGCATTACAGAGATAGTTTAGTATCTGGATTCCGGGAATACATAGAATGTGTGTCTTCACCTCAGAAAAATGCTGGTCAAATAGGCGTTTACTTAAGCTGTCTGGAATCACCTACAGATGCAGGGAATGTGGTCTCCAAATGTCACTTTCAAGTGAGATAGTTTTACAAGTCTGTTCTATGCATCATAAACACTAGATAGTCTTGTGTGTTGGTGCTCCTAATACTCTGGGAGCAGTAGTGCAGATACTCAGAGTATGACACTTGCATGCCCTAGACAAACAAGGACTTTATAAATTTTCTGTACTTAGTGTCAAATATTCATGTTTGAGTAAGTTATTGAAAACTAACCATGCATGATGTGGACATAACTTTACTGTAGGATTGATATTCTGCCAATAGACTTGTTTTCTGCCAAGAACAATGGCAAATTAACAGAAGTCTGTGCTACAAGAGTCCTTTATATATATATATATATCTAAAAAAAAAAAAAAGGGTCAAGTACTTTTTGACTGAGAAAGCTAAAACATCTCCTGCCTAGTGTCCTAAGATGGTCTGCCCATTGCTGCTGTGTTCATGATACATACTCATGGGATATCCTATCTCAGAAAATCAGAAGACGTGAAGTTGAGTGCAGTCTTTACAGGTACTTCTCTTCAAATGTGCAATGCACATATACACTGAAGTAATGGCTGATCACAGGAACTGTAGTGTAAGCAATTTTTACATTCTGTCTCTGGTGTCTGTAAAGTGCAGGTTTGTACTTCCAATATAATGCCAGAAACTTCATGCGCACCTCAAAATATGCTAAACAAAATTAAATGGGAGTATAAACAGTTAGAAAGGGGCAAATATGGTTAGTACCACATGAATACAGAAAAGTATATTGAAAAATTGAAAAAAACAGGATTATTGTAAAGCTTTGCAAATGTGTGAATGACAAGTGTTGTACTGAAAGTTTTGTGCATGTTGTAGTATGAGACTACTAGTCCTTGGTGGCCATTATGAAGATGGATTTTATTTAAAAATTATCTTAAGATCTACACTTGAAGTCCAGATGTTCACATCACCTCACCAGGACTTGAGGCAATGCAATAATAGGAATAATTTAATCATTGCTAGTAACAGTTCTAAGTGTTCACTGTGGGCTTTTAGCAGTTAATTCAAACTTACTCATTCTCTTGCATTATTAAATAAACAAGCTAAAATTTGCTTCTTATTTTTGTTTATTTGAAGTATTTCATATCTTATTTCGTCAGTTACACAAAACCATTTTCTGGTTTATAGAATGATGGTTTTGTTTTAAAGACTTAAGTGGTCAGCTTATCACAAAGCATTCTATTAATACGATGCTAAAATTAATGTCCCATATCTGACATTTTAAAAATGGCTAGAACAAATAGCAATATATATTCCATTTCAGCTTAGAGAAACTTCGTGGTTGATATTTCAGGATCACTTTCTCCAGGCCTATGAGCGATGCATCCCAACTAAAAGAAAGTCAAGGAAACCAAGGAAAATGTAGAAACTCTCCTGAAAGAAATAGGAGACCTAGCTATGTGGTATATTGAGAAAGCTGAGGTTCTTAATGACTTTGCATCACTGTAAGGGCTCCAGGAGGGACTGGGAGAACAAAGCATCCCCCACTGTAAAAGAAAAACAGGTTCATGACCATCTAAAGAACCTGAAAGTGCACAAGTCTATGGAACCTGATGGGCTCCGTCCATGGGTCCTGAGGGAGCTGTCAGATGCAGCTGCTAAGCCTCTGTTCATCATATTTGAGAAGTCATGGTGGTCTGGTGAGGTTCCTACCAATTGGAAAAAGGGTAACACAGCCCCTACTTTTAAAAAGGAAAAAAACGAAAACCTGTGGAACTACAGGCTGGTCAGTCTCTTCTCTGTGCCTGACAAGATCGTGGAACAGATCCTCCTGAAAACTCTAGTAAGGCACATGGAAAATAAGGAGATGATGGGTGATGGGTGACAGCCAACATGGCTTCACAAAGAGCAAATCATGCCTGACCAACTTGGTGGCCTTCTATGACAAGGCTACAGAGATGGTGGATGGTGGCAGAGCAATTGATGTTGTCTACCCGGATTTGTGCAAGGCATTTGACACTGTCCCACATGACATCCTGGTCTCCAAACTGACAAGGCATGGATTTGACAGATGGACCACTTGGTGGATAAGGAATTGGCTGGATGGCAGCACCCAGAGAGTTGTGGTCAATGGTTCAGTGTCCAAGTGGAGGCAAGTGATGAGTGGTGTTCCTCAAGGGGTCAGTATTGGGACCAGTGCTGTTTAACATCTTTGTTGGAGACATGGACAGTGGGATTGAGTGTCTCCTCAGCAAGTTTGGCGATGATACCAAGCTGTGTGGTGTGGTTGACACCCTAGAGGGAAGGGATGCCATCCAGAGGGACCTCAATAGGGTGGAGAGATGGGCCAGTGCCAACCTCATGACGTTCAACAAGGCCAAGTGCAGGGTCCTGCACCTGGGTCAGCACAACCCCAGGTACAAATACAGGCTGGGGGAAGAATGGCTGGAGAGCAGTCCTGAGGAGGAGGACTTGGGGGTGGTAGTAGATGAGAAATTCTTAATGGCTTGCTTTTCTTTATTTGCTGGAAAATAGTTGTTATTGAAATGACTTAATGCTGATTATTATGAAATGCTTCTGAGGAAAGTTCTGAGCCTTGAAATCAAGCTATAACTTCTGCGAAATTGCAACATTACAGGCACAAACAACTGCATTTGTACTGTTGTTTTTCCTGATTGTACAAAACTTGACACATTCAGTGTACAGTAAGTAGGATGCTATCTTGAAACCGTGCTTTCCTGTGCAGAAACCTGCATGGAATTAAAGCTTTTACACTTGTATTTGATTACCTCTGTATTAGAAAAGTATGAAACATACAAATTTGAAATTCTACTGTATTAATGAAAAATTACAAGCAATAGAAGGGAATCTGTTTTGTGTAAATCTGTACCACAAACACATTTTGAATGAAAGTAGTTGCTATAGGTCACACTTGGTTTTTCTTTACATAAATTAAAATGTCATAAAAGGACAGAGTTTTCACTGACAACACTTTTGCTGTCCTGGATGAAATAATTTATAGATATTTCTTGGTTACACAGCACATTCGAGTTTCATATTTACTGAATGGAAAGCTTTTACTCAATATATTTGGATACATCAGTACCAGATGAATATCCCTTTGAAAATTTTTATGACTCATTAAGGCAATAACTTGAAATTAATTAAATAAAAAACAAATTGGGTCTAAATCCTTTCCATCTCCAAGTGAATCATTAAGCGCAATTTTCAATATTCAGGGCATCTTTGTGGTGGTGCATTTTTTCTTGCTGAAGAAATATTTTTGTTTTACTGAACATGAGAGAATAAGATGTGATTGGGATCTACAATACCAGAGGGGCCATTCTTCAGCTTAAAACCAAACCAAGTGCAACAAAAGAGTACACATGATATATAGCTCAGAGCTGTTGAAAAATATAGCCATTGCTGGTTCGTATTAGCTTCAGCAGCTATTTCCCATCTGTAAAGACTACTGGATTTAGAATAATTTTATTAAGCATGTAATTTCATTTTTAATGGGTCATTTTTATATTACTGATGTAAATTTTGGAAGAGAAATTATGTCAAAGGGCAAAAAACCCCTAAATCTCCAAAAAGGAAGCTTCCAAAAAGTGTTGCGGCTGTCTCTGGGCTGGAATGTGTTGACAAATTGTAAGGAACTGAGTAAACAGCAAAAATTAGGAATAAAAGTGTGAATTGGTGGTAAAATTGAGCAAAACCAAAGCGTTGTGATGGAAGAAAAGGTCTGCTCTACTGGAGTGAATCTTCATCTTTTAAAATTAGCAAAGTGCATGCCCTGGTGTTTCACCTAACTGGGGGTTATCCCAGCCCTTGAACCTGGATGGCAGCTTTGTTTGCTTAGAGCACTTTCTCCCTGACTAGGGCTGAATTTTCTCCTTCTACCAGAAGAGTAATAACTCTTTTGACTGGCATGTGCTTGAATAAAAGCTACTGTACAGATCCTTACTTTGGTTAGGGACCTAGTATAACACTAGCAACACGAAAGTGCTGCTGTGCTGCCAGAAGCTCTGTCTAAAGGAAGGTATCTGTGTGTGGAGCTTGATCCTTCATGTAAAGCAGCTTCGTATCCCTTGTTCTGCAGGACAGAGATGAAAACTTGAATGGATCCATTTCACAGTACTTATTGTAATGCATCTCGTCATAGAAAGGCTGGTTTATGGCTCTGGTGGCTGATTAAAGGGTGAAAACTTGCAGCTGCTCATGGATCTTGGTAGAAAGACCAGTGAAGAATGGAAGTTGTGTAGACTGCTGGAGGATTATAGGTTGTGGAATGTTAGGATGAAGTAAAGCAAACATGTTAAAAATAACATAGCAATGTAGTGCTAGTAGTTTGTAGGAGTGTTCTATAAGGAAAAATTGTGAAAGTACTTTTAGAAATAATCTTTTTACTGAGGCAAAGAAAATGTTTGCTTTAAAACATTTGGTAATTTAGTACTTGATGCAGAAAGTGCTGGAATAAAGGCTTTTATGTCTAATCTATACATCTCAAAGTGTAGTTTTTCCATCAAGAGTTAAATTAATGAAGCTTTGAAAACAGTGGGAAATATTTCCAAACAAGGATGGTGCTGTGTATCTCTTTGCAAAATATTAAGTATTTTTTATTTCTTCTCATCGTAGTGTCTTGGCTGCAATGAAAGAATAATTTAAAGTGAGAACTTGCAGCAGATATTATGGGCAGATGTTATATCTTTTTTCTTGCATTTCTCAGTAGTAGCTCTGGGAAGCAAAAGGCTTCTCATGTGCTGTATTAGTTTTCTTAGTAGGCCTATGTGTATAAAAAATTAATACTTTCCTTTTCTGTTTTCCCCTGGAGCAGGGTACAAGGAGAGTGGGAAATGGATGAAACCTTTGAGTTTTCCATTCTATTGGAAAGTTGAAGTAGCTTAATGTAGAGCATGGAGAAGGAAGAAATAAGAGATTCTTCAAAAAATAAGTGCTTCCTAAAGCAGTTTACACCTGAAGAAAATGAGGTTTATACTTAATCCTTAATATCTAGGCTATAGATAGTCGCAGAGTAATCCTCACTGCAGTTTGAATTACAGTAACTGAGATTTAAAACAAAACATAACTGTCATATTTGATACAGATTTTATAATTTTGTTTAGTAACTTTCATGACATGAACAAAATAGCACCCTTTTCTAGCTCTAAGCAGAAAATATTGTGCTAGTCTTTAATCCCAGAATTGACCTATTAATGCAATTGATAATACACCATGGCATTTTTTTCTGAAAGTAATTTGAAGTGTATATATATGACTTATATAAATCCTGTTGGAGTACAAAAGATAAAAAGCATGGTGAAGATAAGTTTTACATTTTTTACATGAAGCCAAGACACTCTTTTTTATATAATTATCAGTAAACATAGTTCTTCCAATCTTTATGTATGATTATACTTCCTAGTTTAGCCATGACAAAGTAATTCTGTAAATGCAATTTTAATGAATTTATGCGAAATTAGATTGAAGAGATTTATGGAAACTTTGATAAATAGTTATTATTTATCAGTTACACTGATTTTAAGTTGGCTTATGATAGGCTTTTTTATGTGCTGAAAGTCTGAAATAATCCTATTAGCTTTTTGGTTCAATACTTTAGGGCAAGCAATTGCTACCAGAACCTGAACATCTGACCTGGAACTTTTCAGAATAGAAAATGGAAGAAAGTCTTAGACGAAGCATTTTTAAGCTTTTATGGTACAAGCCTTCCTTGACTGAAATAAGAAGTTGGTTTTGCCATTGATTACAGAGGGGCTATATTTTGTGCCAACGATTAAGGTTCTGAAATGCATGATGTAAAATGAAGATTCTGCCCTTGATGCCAGAAAAGGGGATGACATACTGAAAAAAGGATATTTGAACCAACAACTTTCCAGTGATTATTGGTCAGAAGGTGAAGAATTTGCATGTGTTGACCTGTATAACGTGGACATGTGTAAACAGAGCAGTGCTGTTTTTGCTTTCCTGCTAGAAGCCTGGAATGTCTGTTCTGGAAAATACAAAGCTGAGATATGGCTGGAGGAAGGCCAGAAGAGGAAAGAGAAAAAGAGAGTGAAAAGAGCAAAGAAATATAATTTTGCTTTTCAAACAAACATGTAGCTTGGGTCAGCTACTTGTTGTGTCTAATGCTATTTCTTATTCAATTGGTGAACTGGAGCATTGTATTACTAAAGCAAAAACTAGCATAAGAAATAAATAATTCACAATTTGCAGTCCAAAGCATTACAAAGTTACAGTACTGTGAGGTACTGCAAGATAATCTGTTTTTCAGTGATATGTTTAGACTTCAGTTCACTCAAAGATACTCTTTTTTTTTTCTTGCAGTTAGCTATCCAGAAACTTATGAAAGCTCTTTCAGATGAATCTTGGGTAGAATGTAGCATAACAAAAAGTAATGTTTTGCCTCTCTTTCTTTCCCTTCCCGTTCCCACCCCCCCCCTTTTTTTTTTTCTGTTTTGTTTCTTTTGTTTTTGGGTGTTTTCTTCTTTTTATTTAGGATGGTGAGCCAGTTAGACCAGGAGTAGCCATGACAGACCTTGCTACTGGGTTGTACACATATGGAGCAATTATGGCTGGTTTACTTCAAAGATACAAGACAGGGAAAGGACTGCACATTGACTGCAATCTCTTGTCATCTCAGGTAGGAGTGCTAAAAAATTGCTTTTAGTTGTGTACATGTTTGAATCTAAGAACGCAATTTTTACATAAATTAATATGAGTTAGTACAACTCCTGATTACAACAATAAGGACACTCATGCCATTGTGTAGGTGAAAGAGACCTGGGGGTCCAGGTGGACAGGAGGATGACCATGAGCCAGCAATGTGCCCTTGTGGCCAAGAAGGCCAATGGCATCCTGGGGTGCATTAGAAAGGGTGTGGTTAGTAGGTCAAGAGAGGTTCTTCTCCCCCTCTATCCTGCCTTGGTGAGGCCACATCTGGAGTATTGTGTCCAGTTCTGGGCCCCTCAGTTCCAGAAGGACAGGGAACTGCTCGAAAGAGTCCAGCACAGAGCTACAAAGATGGTGAAGGGAGTGGAACATCTCCCTTATGAGGAAAGGCTGAGGGAGCTGGGTCTCTTAGGCTTGGAGAATAGTAGACTGAGAGGTGACCTCATCAATGTTTACAAATATGTAAGGGGTGAGTGTCAGGGAGATGGAGTTAGGCTTTTCTCAGTGATGACCAGTGATAGGACAAGGGGTAATGGGTGCAAATTGGAGCACAGGAGGTTCAAGGTGAATATCCAAAAAACTTCTTTACTGTGAGAGTGACAGAGCACTGGGACAGGCTGCCCAGGGAGGGTGTGGAGTCTCCTTCACTGGAGACATTCAAAACCCACCTGGATGCATTCCTATGTGATGTGCTCTAGGTGACCCTGCTCTGGCAGGGGGGTTGGACTAGATGATCTTTCGAGGTCCCTTCCAACCCTTATGATTCTATGATTTATGATTAAGTGACAGTTTCCTTATTCTGCCACTCAATAGTAACCATTTTTTATGATGACATGGTTATACTTCTGCATTATATTTGGTTTTCACTTTTTACAAAGGTCTTCTGTGTTCTTTGAAAACATATGTTAATCAAGGTTTGTAATCTCCTGAGGTTGTGGGCAACACTTGTAGTAGATAATTTGAGACAGACAAGCATAAATGGTGAAACCACTGTTGGATGGGAGGCTTTGGCACTGGGTAATATTACTGCCAGAGTGATGGAATGATTTGTGCAAAAACACCCAGAGTGATCAAGTATCACCCAAACGTCAAAGTACTGTAATCCAGTAGGTCTGCCTTCTGGCTCTGGGAATAGAAGAGTAAGGTAAGCTTGAAAATGCAGCATTTTCTCTAGGCACATTACAGAGAAATCTTGTAAAAATTGTAAAGATAAAGATTTTTGATCATGAAACGAATACCATATACCACAAGTAATGAGAACTTTAAACTCTTAGAACATTTAAGCATCAATGGTGCAATAATTTATAATTCACAAACAGAAAATGATGTCGTTTTGAGCTACATATGATGGAATGTTACACTGTCTTGCTGATGTAGGAATCTGTTGGTAGCAACTGGGTATATGGGGCATAGGAGTTTTCGTGTATGTTTTAAAATACCAAACAAAATTATATGCAGTACTAATCAAAACTACTACAATACTCCATTATTTTCCTCTTTGTTCAATTGTATTTTTCTTCACATTATACCTGTCAGTACATTTAAAAGACGATAAAGCACCTATTGTACCAAAAAAATTGGCCCTGATGTGAGCAGGAGTTTGGGCAAGATGACCTCCAGAGGTTCCTTCTCACCTGTATCAGTGTCTGATAATAATGACTGAGACTAATGATTGAGGTTACTCTTGTTTAAATACCTGCTGCTTTTGTTTAAATACCTGCTGAAATCAGATTGGGAAAGGAGGGCAAGTCCTTGCTTAAATCAACCAAGAATTTTTCATTTGTTTTGGAGGTGTTTGTAAGGGCTGAACTCTTCATCATGCTTACTTATATTTGCAAATGTTTTGTCTGTATTTCGGTGAAGCCACTAAGGCGAGGGACACCAGAGTGAAGGGTTGTGCTGGTGGGCTCCTTCTGCAGCAGCTAAACCATGCGGAAACCCTCGGCAAAACCGAGGAAGAGAAGCTGAGAGAGTGGGAGAGAGTCAGCCCCTGTCCCTGGGAAGTGAGAGCTTCTGGGAAGCAGCAGCTCTGACTCACCATGCGTGTGGGCAGAGGGATGGCAGCCTGACCCCCTCAGGTAGAAGCAGCCCCTGGGGAGCGCGGCGACCAGGAGCAGCAGACAGGGCGTGGGGCGGCAGGGCACAGGCTCCTTCTTGGCTCCTGGTAAGAACTCAGCTAGTGGTCATTGCCCTCCAGAAGACCTAGCTGTGGGATCCACTCGGGCGAAAACCATTGCCAGGACAACAGTGGTGACCCAGACAGAGGTCCCTCCCTCTCAGGAATGCAGCTGTCCTGGTCTCTGGCTGCAGAGAATGTCTCAGCCTGCCGCTCATACCAGAGGAGAGCAGAGAGAGCACCTGCGTGCGCTGTGACCAGGTGAATGATTTACTCAGCCTAGTGGCTGAGCTGAAAGAGGAGGTGGAAAGATTAAAGGGTATCTGGGATTGTGAAAGAGAAATGGATTGGTGGAGTAATACCCTACCCTCCTTGACACAAAGCCTCAAGGTGGAGGCTTCATGAGAAGTAGAAGACCCTCCGCCTTCCTGTCACTTGGCAGAAGTAGGGGACCTGAGAGAGGAGGGGAACTAAAAGCGGGTCCCTGCTCAAGGCAACAGGCGAACCTGCTCCCGGCGTCCCTCACCTTCACGTGTGCCCTTACAGAACAGGCATATGGCCCTGGATTGGGGAAAACCAGGTAACTAAGGTTACTGACAAAGATCTGTCCAGGGAGTTGCTGAGTCAGTCTGCCCCATGCATTAGGACTGCCTCTGCTAAGAACAAAAGGTGATTATTTTAGGAGATTCTCTTTTGAGGGGAACTGAGGATCCTATATGCCTGTCAGACCCAACCCTCAGGGAGTTCTGCTGTCTCCCTGGGGCTCGGGTTAGTGATGTTACTGAGAAACTCCCAGGCCTGGTGCAGCCCTCTGGTTACTACCCAACTAGTGGTCATGCAGGTGGGCATGGAGGAGGCTGCCAAGGGGGCAAGCCCCGGGGTGATGAAAAGGGATTTGAGAGAATTAGGCCGAATGCTTGCAGGATCAGGAGCACAGGTGGTCTTATCTTCAGTTCTTTCAGCAGCAGGAAATGCTGAAAGGACTAGGAAAACACAGCTGATTAATGTATGGCTTAGAGGCTGGTGCCATTGAATGAACTTTGGGTTTTTCGGTCATGGAGATGTTTACAGGGCACCAGGTATGCTAGCAAACAATGGCATAGAGCTGTCAACAAAGGGGGGAAAGGATTCTTGGCCAGGAATTATCAGGGCTCATTGAGAGAGCTTTAAACTACGCTTGAAGGGGGTAGGGAATAAAACCCCTGGAAATGAGCCTGGGGGCAACAAGAGGACAAGAGTTACCAAGGCTCATCCAGAGAGCTTTAAACCAGATTTGAAGGGGGATGGGGATACAGCTGGGCTTTCTAGAGAGGTGTCTGTGGGTTATGGCTCAGCACTTGTAGGGTGGCATGCTAGTATTTTTCCTTCTTTTAAATACACTAATGCACGCAACGTGGGAATAAACAGGAAGAACTGGAGATCTGCGTGCAGTCACACAGCTTTGATCTCATTGCAGTCACTGAGACATGGTGGGTTAGCTCTGATGACTGGAGTGCTAGCAGTCACGGATGGCTATGTACTGTTCAGGAAAGACAGGTCATCAAAGTGAGGTGGTGGAGTGGCTCTTTATGTGGAAGAGCACCTGGAGTTTACTGAACTCTGGCCAGGGGAGAAGGAAGAAGATTTTGAAAGCTTATGGGTGAGAATTAAGGGCAGGCCAACATGAATGACACTGTTGCGGGTGTCTACTATAGGCCACCTGGTCAGGATGAGGAAGTTGATGAGGAGGCCTTTTATAGGCAGCTGAAAGTAGCCTCACAGTCACAGGCCTTGGTTCTCATGGGGGATTTCAGTCACCCACATATTTACTGGAAAGGCAACACAGCTCAGCATGCACAGTCCAGAAAGTTCTTGCAGAGTGTTGATGACAACTTTCTGCTGCAGGTGGTTGAGGAACCTACGAGGGGCAGTGCACTGCTAGACCTGGTGCTAACAAAGAGGGTCTTGTTGAGGATGTGAAGGTTGGGGGCAAACTTGGCTGTAGTGACCACGAAATGGTGGAATTTACTATTTTAGGTGGAAGTAGGAGAGAAATGAGCAAGACTTTAATTCTGGACTTCAGGAATGAAACATTTCACCTCTTCAAAGATCTACTTGATGGAATACCATAGGTCAAGGCTCTGGAAGGTATGGATGTCCATGAAAGCTGGACAACTTTAAAACAACACTTGCTCCGAACTCATAACCGGTGCATCCCAATGAGAAAGAAATCAAGCAGAGGGGGTAGGAGACCTGCATGGATCAGTAGGGGTCTTCTAGAAAAAAATAAAGGAAAGAAGGAAATTTACAGAATGTGGAAAACAGGTCTGGCCACTTGGGGGGAATAGAGGAACATTGTAAGAGAGTGCAGGAATATAATGAGGAACGCTAAGGCCCATCTGGAACTAAAGCTTGTGAGGATCATCAAGGACAACAAGAGAAGTTTCTTCTAGTACATCAATAAAAAAGGAAGAATAGGGGAAATGTAGGCCTGCTGATGAATAAGGCGGGTGTCCTTGTGACTGATGACACAGGGAAGGCGGAGTTATTGAATGCCTTCTTTGCTCCACTCTTCACTGCAAAAGCCAGACCTCTTAAATCCCAGACCACGGAGGTAGGAGATAAGGTCTGGAGAAAGGAAGACTTTCCCTTGATAGAGGAGGACCAGGTTAGAGGCCACTTAGCCAAAATGGACATCCATAAATCCGTTGGCCCTGATGGGATGCATCCATGAGTTCTGAGAGAGCTGGCAGATGTTATTGCTAGGCCACTCTCCATCATCTTTGAGAGGTCATGGAGAACAGGAGAGGTGCCTGAGGACTGGAGGAGGGCTAATGTCACTCCAGCCTTCAAAAAAGTCAAGAAGGAGGACCCAG